AGTTACCTAGCTCTTTTTAGGAGTTCTAATAACTACAGCGACTATAGACTTATTCAAGCACGAGCTCTGAACTCAGCTGTATTTTACTCTCCTGAGCTATTTATAATCCTAATACCCCTGTCAAAGCAAAAATAATTCTACTAGATATATCATTAAAGTACTTAGTAATCAGTACAAGATATACACGCACTAAACCCAGAATACCTCAAAATTCTAGATTCTGCTATCCCTTTAATAAGGGATAACACTAAAGTTTCTTAATGAAATTCTGTCTGGCTGCAAAATTAAAATATTGGTTTATTTACACGTAACAATCCATTTAATTAGCAGCTGAGTGGTTTAACGGCTAGCATTGATTTCTGTTAAACAGTGAGCCATACACCTCTCAGCTGCAAGCAATTCAGACAGCTGTTGGGGATTTATTTTATTTAAAAGGTGAAAGTCAGACTCAACTGTGCAATGAAGCCATCAGAGTTATGACCAAAAAAAGAGATGCGATTTCGAAACTAAGGAGAGCTATAGAAATTGATGCAAGAAGCCCATCTCGTGCCCATCCCAGTCTGTAAATTCTCTATGCTGCAGCCTCAGATGACAGTGTAGTTTGAAAGCTGAAATTCATTCCTTACCTAAAAGCCTCATTATCATACTCCACAAAGCCTGCAGACTGAGATACTCTTCCATTACCGTCCTGGATTACGCTGTTCCTGCCCAGCCTTTTAAGAGAAGTCACGTGTATGAAACAATAGTTCCTCAATCAACAATATCCATGAAAATGCTCCAAGACAAGCAACCATCTACACTTGCAAGATGCTGACTTTCTGGGTAGGAGCAGTAAAACCTATTTTCTGCTTTCCAGAATTTCATCATCAGAGAACAGAGAGGGGGAAATCTGTTTGGCAGCCGAAGGATCCACAGTTACAAACTCTTTATTTCCTTCTTGGACTAGAGCCTGCCCAAATCTCTCCAGTCTAGGATTTCCCAGATGGGATCAGTGGGGAGAAGCATCCCTATTATTTTTGGGATCTTACAGAGCCAGGCACAAGCACAGGAGTTTTTGGACTCATGCAGACAAGCCAGCAGGATTTGCCTTGCTTTTCATCCTCTACAAACCCTTCAGCTTCCAGACTACTTATTTTCAAATTACATTTCTGTGCAGTCTGAACATGCCAAAGATAAACTGAGGTTTCCATCACCTGTTGAAAAAGCAAAGGAAAAACATCTACATGTGTCCTGGGTTCAGCTGTAGCAGTCATTTTTTCTCCTTCTTAGTAGCTGGTGCAGTGCTGTGTTTTTGACTTTCAGCCTGGGAACAACGCTGATTAACACCGATGGTTTTAGTTGTTGCTCAGTAATGTTTACTCCAGCCAAGGACTTTCTCAGTCTCATGCTTTGCCAGAGAGGAGGGGAAGCCGGGAGGAAGCAGAGACAGGACATCTGACCCAAACTGGCCAAAGGGGTATTCCATACCACAGCACGTCATGCCCAGTACAGAAATGGGTGCGAGTTACCCAGAAGGCCCAGATCGCTGCTCGAGTAGGGCTGGGTAGTGGTGAGAAATTCTATCCTCTCCCCTTGTTATTTCCCATATTATTATTATTGATGGTAGCAGTAGTGGTTTGTATTATACCTTAGTTACTGGACTGTTCTTATCTCAACCTGTGGGAGTTACATTCTTTCGATTCTCCTCCCCATCCCTCAGGGTGTGGAAGGAGGAAGGGGGAAGAGAGACAGCAGCTGCATGGTTTTAAGTTACCAACTGGGCTTAAACCAGGACAGCATGGCAGCTAAAGCACAGTTCACTTCAGACTCTCCAGTCACTAATATACAAAGTGCGAACCTCTGCATTTCCTGATATTTCCTCAGTAAAGATAATAAGCCTTCCTCCGCATACAGAGAAAAAACACTTTTCTTTGTTGCTTCTAGCTTATTGAGTTTTTTAAGTGACTCTGTAAGACTTCACCTCTTAGCCACCCTCCATGTTGCAGAGCAGCTTCAGACAGTAAAATTGCATTAGGGCCAGTAATTTACATTTTTCCAATAAAATTCTAAATACCTATGCAGCAGCTCTTTAGTGACTGGCTTGATGTTGCAAATTATAAACTTGGAAGTAAATACATTAGGACAAATATTGATTTCTAAGTAGTTACCATGAGTGTGATTTTATCCTGGTGTTGGATTATTGCACCTCTTCTCTTTTATAGCTGTATCTTACCTCCCAGCTACTATATTTTGTGGCAAGAAAGTAAATATATAATACCATCTCACTTCTGAAATTTCAATTCATTCAGTTCCACATTTTAGAAAAAGCAGCTAGGAATCCATGTAATGGTTTTCTAGCAGCTCTATTCCAGTGCCTGATGGAAAAGATTAGCAAAAAAAAAAGTAGCAATATTGCTTTGGGATGTTCATTCAACATATCTTCTCCATGGTGGTTCAGCAATTTTTTGTTTTACTAGATAATCTCAGCCTTTACTACTTTAAGACCCTGATTACACATGGCATCTTGTCAGGAAACAGGAACAAGGCACTTGGTCTATAAAAAAGTTAGAGTTCAGGTTGCATTTATACATGGACCACCCTCCCCACTTCAGAAACAGTAGTAAGCCTCCCAAAACTCCAGTCAAGACAGCATGGAAATGTAATTGCTGCAACCTGTGGCCAGAATATGTTGTCTGAAGAACTGCATGGGTACAGCAAAATCTGCACAAAAAGTATTGTTCCAAATATTTATTAAAAAATGACTGCAAGTGGAAAAATAATAAGCCATCCAGTGGCAGATTTATTACAGTTTTAACAGGTAAAAGGATGAATCTAAGAATAAAAGTATCAATACAAAAGGATTCTTAATCAGTGCATAAAATGTGAACTGCATATGTAATATATTTGTATATAAATCTATTCGTTACAGTCTTCTTAAACAAAATAAACAACATTCATTAGCAACATCCAAAAATATTTCTTTGTGGCAAGAGATTCCTCTTCCTGCAGAGCAATACTACCTCTACATAAATTTATGGCCACCTCGACCACTTTAGAGTTTGGGGCTACAATAGGTACTCAACATCACGAGGTCATAGCCAGAGCAAGTGATTTAAAACTAGCTTATACGAGATCTCAATGTTATTTCTGAGACTTAAGGCAAGGTATGGAACAGGTGCGACTGGCAGAGCATGATTTAAGCTGTGGGATCTCCTTAAAAGCCAAATTTGGATTAGGGCTACATTCCCGCAGGAAAACTTTGACACAGCTTATGATTCCCAGTTTGACACACTTCCCTTTTTCTGTAAACTAAATAAACTGTACCCAATTAACCTTTTCTTAATATAAAGAGTTGCTTGGGTAGTTTTAAAATAAATCAGTATAAAAATCTATCTTATTCACTGTCTCTGTATCAAAGTGCTAATGAATGGCAGTGTTTTCTCTCTGAAGTCATGGTCCCTGCTTTTCATGTTTCATTTCTCATCTCCAGCAGGACTGATCTCAGGATTCTAACTGTGGCTGAATCAGCCCGCCTTGGGGCTCACTCTTGGACAGCCCTCACTTACAGTGGGACACCAAAAGTACATCTAAATGGGTTGTGCTAGGGAAGCTGTCTGTGATGTTAGATGGACAGGGCCATTGCAGACCCACCTCACCCTGCCAGGTGCCAGCAGGGCCTGCCCATGCAGGCTGCGGCTCAGGTACTTAGCCTATCCCCTGCAAAGACCAGAGCAGGAGCTGGGCTCAGACCTTACAAGCAAGATGAATTCACATTGAAGTTAAAGAAAAAAACATGTAGTTATATTTACAGACAGCTGCCATCACCTTCCACATATATACCATTAAAGAAATAGCCTTATCTTTGCCCATGTGTTTGGTTCTAACGTGATATTGGCCTTTCCACCACTTCAGGACATTGTTTCCAATGACACAGATAATAGAATTCAGGCTTTAACTGAGAACTGATGCATGAATATGCATAAGTAGCTTTCCTCTCACAACTCCATGAATTACAACTTTGTACATGAATAAAATGGGGAAAAAATCCTCCACTGCTTTTTTCCTCCTGTCAAATTCATATTCTGTGGTCAGGAAAAAGAGAGATGTTTGGAAGAAACACTTCTTTCCGTTTTTCCCTTTGTCTGCAATTCTAAATATTACTAGAACTTAAATGTCCTCATCTGCATTAAACAGGTGGGACTCTGTTATGCTCACCTTTTGTACGATGTTCGTGTAGCAGGGGCTTCTGAAAGACCTTTGAAATGAATGCTGGCCATGACAGGATACTGCCTAAACGAGAGTCAGGCTTCAAGTATCTTTCTGCAATTAGATTATGTCATATATTATATTCTTACTAATATCCTGGGAGGGAGAGTACAAGGGTAGTTAACACCTGTATATTTGCAATTAAAATGAGTGCATTGGACTCTCAGTAGTTCTGGCTTTTGCCTGCCTCACATCTGGCCCAGCATAGCTTCTAAACCTTATAAGAAAAGTAAAGGGAAAACTAATGCACACACAGTGGAAGGCATCATGCCCATATGCATACGGCTGGCTAATACTGTTACCTAACTGAAAAGGTGAAAAGCCATGCAGTTTCCCCTTTATTTGTTATAGTTTGGGTCATATTAACGCTAAAAAATTAGAATTCGGGAGGGGGGGAAGGTTTATTTGTAATACATGGCAATTTTGCCAGCTCTTGAAGATTGCATTTCAAGCACAACTGCATTTCTCTATGCACACTGAATGCTTGTGGCAAAAGCAACCAAACCTTTTAGTTAGGCACATGCTGAAAAATGGTATATTAAAAAAAAATCAGTTGTTTCCATTCTGAAAATTATTGAAAGCCTTGATGTTGCAGCAATAAGCTAAACATGAAAGGCAGCAGACCCTTTCCATGAAGGAGAAGCAGATTCATCCTTGATGAGGGGCCCAGCAACAACAGCTGTGAAATGCACACATAGAAAGCATCTTCTATATTATATATACAACTGTAATAAAATAAATAGTACTGTTCTGACTCATAAGTGTATTTCAGCTTGGGTGTTGTTTGTTACAGATGGAGATGGCTTGCTTTTCATCCCTTCTGTCCCACCCTTGGACACATTGATGAAGAGAAACCTGGGAGTCCAGAGTGTCAGCAGTATCCTTTCGTATTCCTTCCGGAAATTCTGGTTAAGAAGCCCATAGATCACAGCATTAAGGCAGCTGTTAAAATAGGCCATAAAATAACTCAGGACGAAAAGCCATTCTGGAATGCGTGGCTGCGCATTTGGACGCTTAATTGAAACAGCAAGGCCAATAAAGTTTAAAGGTCCCCAGCACACAGCAAAAAGGACAAAAACTACAAACATAGTCAAGAAATTTCTGATGTCAGCTGCTCTGAGCTTCTGCTTGCAATCTTGTCTCACCTGGTGTTTGACGTGAATCACCAAAATCCAGATCCGCAGGTAGCAAAATGTCATGATGGACAGTGGGACCATGAGGTGAACCACCACCACTGTAATGGTGTATGATGTACTCACTGTCTGTGCAAATGTGCAGGAGTAAATCCGGGGGTCACACTGCAAAGAGCTGACAAAGAAGTTCGGCACAATTGCCACCACTGTGAGTATCCAGGTCAAGCAGAGATAGCAGAAGGTGTTCTTCAGGTTAAAGAGCTTCTCATACTGAAGGCTGTGACAGATGTAGCAGTAGCGGTTGATTGCGATTGCTGTGATGTTGAAAATGGACTCAATGACACTTAAGCCCATCACGAACCCACTTACCTGGCAGTGGACATTTCCCATGGTCCATCCATTGTGGAAAATGGCACTCAAGATCAGAGGGTATGGATAAACAGCAACCACAAGGTCTGCAACTGACAAACAGACGACAAAGAAGTTGCCTACAAAAGAAGAAGAGACCGTGAGAGGTTAGCATAGGTTCAGACAGACAACCTCCAACTAAAGAACTCCACTTGAGGCTGAGCTCTTCTCATGGGCTTCACTCTACCATTCATTTGGAATTTGAAAGCCTAGAAAATAAGATTTTGTTCTACCAGTGACAGCAATGGAGTGTAGCTACGCATGATTAACCTGCATATTTCTTCTCAGGAAAATTTTAAAAATTGAACGTTACTGTTAAATTCAGCTTTAGCTTTGGGTTCCTGTGTTTCACTAAGTTGTGTAGGAGAGAATTATTTTCTCTTCTGGTTAATCAGCCAGCATGTTACTGCTCATTTTATGTGTGGTGTATTTTTAGGCAGGCAAAAAGCCTTTCTGTCCAGTTTGCCAGTCAGAGTAGGGGAGGGAATTAAAAAAGGGACCTTGGTAGGTCCCTGGTGTAACTACAGGATCAGTTATAATGTTGAAAGGATATCCATCAGTATTCACCTTTTGATGACCAGAAAAATTGTCATTTCAGGAGGAGTTCAACATTGCAGTTAGAGGACAGTACACTAGAAAAAGTGGCTGTTTTTATTAACTCTACTACCTCCAGGCATATCTACAATGGCAGGATGTTTAGCACATTTAAGGTGTTAATATCTATGTTCCTACATGTTACAATGCAACAGCCCAGGTGACTGATCACACCTGAGCCTTCTCATGAAATCCTCATATCCTGTCTACCAGATTATATGAAAAAACACTAAAAATATGCTTTTTCTTCAATATCAATGAAAGGATTCCCCGAGACCTCAGTTTGGCCAGGTCACTGGCTTTAGTATTTGGAAAGTACATCCAAGGGCTGGCAGAAATCACAGCTGCACTGCCGTTGCAGTTGGCTCATTGCTATGTTTGTTGCCAACAAAAACTATCAGTACAAGTCAACCATTCATATAAGGCAGCAGAATCCACTTCACACTGACTGGAAGACAGTCCAGACTTGAGAATAGCCCACAGCAGTGTAGAGTTGAGGCAGCTGACACAAGCATCATTTGAAAATAAGTATTAGCAGATGTGATGCAAAGTGTTGAAACCTTTTTAGAGAGAGATTTCACATACACAGGTTTACCACAGCACACAACTTCTGTGGCTGTTATGCCTCAGTGCTGCTGATCTTAGAGCTTTTTAAAAAGCAGTCACTAAACCTGGTGCCTATATAATTAACTCTCTTTATGCCCACTCTCAATTACCACCTGTGGTCAACCACCTGTGGTCAGGCTTAGTTCTCATGCAGGCACACTAGAGAAGGAATGCTCTTTTGCAGCAAATCTTTTATTCATTTGATCAAAAATACACACCAACAAAAAGCAAAATGTGTCCCCAGCACCAGGATTTCATTCTGATGCTGGAGACAGACTCTGCTGATGGGGAGACAACCCTCCCTCTTCACTGGATCTCTCCCACTTGGATAGAGATTCTTACACACAGGAGGTCAGAGAGCAAGCCTCTGCATTTGCTGAGTATTGAAGACAGCCACATTCAACACCCAGCCCTGACTCAGGCAAAGCAGAACAGAGCTGGATATTCCCCACTTAAGACAGCATATCAGTGAATTTAATCCAAAGTTTAGCAAAATCATAGGGAAAATTATTAACCTCACATCACTGCCAGCTGCTGGGAGAAATGAGCAGTCTCTGTCAGTTTTTCTTCACTAACTTAAATAGTTGAAATAGAAATACTGGGGGAGGGAATCTGTAAAATAATATTCACAGGATAGATTTACTCATTTGGATTTAATCCAAGAGCACAATATTGTGTGTATTATTTTGACACCACTTCATTGCTGGAAGAGAAATGAGACAGTTTTATCAAGACAAGAATAATCTCTTCTACTTGGAGAGCAAACCTGTCATCCCCTGCTCTGTGCTTTCACCTTGCAGTCATGGTTCTCCTACCAACTAGAAGACCTGTCGCCCTGGCAGGGTAATGGATACCTGAAAATAAGATCACAAAGGTTCAATCAGTACTATTTCACAGAAACAAATCCATCTTCCATTTTATTTGGCAATGTGGTGAACTTCATGTTTTTCTTTTGACAACAAACTCGTATAAAAGTCACTTGCCAGTCAGTCCCGAAAATCAGTGCATGAGTACAGAGAAAAAGGGGTACACCACATGCCTCTGAAGCAGAACATATACTTCAAAGTATGGGAAATGGCTGTTGGTTATTTATTAAAATGAGTCACTTGACTTAAACACTGCTTCAGCCTGCAGTCTCTAGTTGCTGTGAGTCTTTGTCCTCTGTAGCATGAGACTGGACCCTCACTCCCAAAACCACTGCAGAATGGGAAGCCATATGATGTGTGGCTTTTAGGGAAGGTGAAGAGCAGTCTTCTGCCAATAGTCTTCACCACTGTATTTTTTTTTTACAATTTTCCACTATAAACCAAAGGATTCCTGCTCATAAAAATACCAGCTGGACTTTACCTCAAATTTAAAATTATCTGCATCCACTGGCATGTGAGTATATTTCCTTATGAGCTTTCACATTTTCAGTCCTGTTCTTAACTTCTAACAGTATAAATTGGTTCATGTGCCACTGTGCTCTAGTACCAAATTATGGAGTCATACACGAAGAAGCATGAATAGTGGAGGAAACAAGTCTGTCACAAGGACACTGGTAATATTGACCTGTCTGCCTTTCCAGAGAAACTATAAAACCTCTCACGTTACAGAGGTCCAACTCAAAGCTATAGATTACTGAGGTATGATACACTGTTCACAGTGTAATCTACAAATTTTTTGGGACTACAAAACAAAACAGGAAACAGCTTGAAGCCCAGTAGCAGAGCAGGTTCTAAGCATGTGTGAGCAAGTAATACAAAATGGAATTTATCCCAGAATACCTTCTGCCCTAATACTCATGCCTTTGAGCTCCTCTCCTCCCTCCCAAACTCCTATAATCCTGTTTCTGCTCACTTCAAAAGCCTGCTCCTGTATTCCAGCAGTTCCCTGGCCCTGCTTCTCATTTCACCTGGATTATCCAACACCACAGTTTATCTGAGGATTTATTGTCAAGTCCTGGTGCTAGAAAATGTGGAAACACCACAATGAGTTCCGAAAATTGATAAACCACATATACAAAGGTCTTCAACAGCAGGCTGCCTGAACAGCACCTGACTTGCATACAAAAGCACATAATTCTTCTACAGAGATTAACTGAGCATCGCTGCACTAACACAAGGGTCACTGGCCCTGCTGCCTCAAGAGGCTGTTGGAAATCCCTTGGTGTACAAGCTCCAGTTGCAGAGATTGAGCCTCTCCCTGCTGTTCCTACACAGGGACAGCTATGGGCTGTCCTTGAGTATATACAGGCTGTGTTTTACGTATCCTAAACCTAGAATCAGGGTTAAATAGCAGTGGGGATGTGTAAAATATCTTTCTGAAAACCGGCTATTTTTCTACATCTCAAAATGTCCACAACAAGCACCAGCTCTTCTTCTGCTGTCTATATAAAGCTCTTTTATGCTCACAATCCCTGCTGAAATAATACAGAACTGTTTGCTTCAGGTTAAGATATAGATCAATGCAGCCTGAAGTTAACACTCATTTTTAAACCCAATGATGAAATTGAAGCATCTTGGCAACAGGAGATGCACCAAAGCAAAAAGTCAGTTTTGCAGATCAGCTTCTGCTCACCTGGCAGAGTCCAGCTCCATCTGAGGAGGAAAGAGGGCTTTGCTGTCCAGATTGCCACTTCCTGCCAGCCACTTTGCAGACATACAAGTTGCTCCCAAATAGCCAGTGCCCAGCACAGCATTTTGAGGCAAACAAATCACATACAACAGCTGCAGTGTCAGCAGACACATAAGCATGATAGACATGAGTGCCATGGGGGCTCACTGCATGACCAGCCCCGCTACTGTCCCACCCTCTTCCCAGAAGAGATCAGATCCTCATGTCTGTTCAGATGCAGCCAGAATAACTGGCAGCTGTAGAACAGCAGGTATAAACCCCTGTGTTGATAAAACTCCTAAGAGACACAATGGCATAATGCTAAAACTTCATTGGACCGACTGGTATTTTTGTGGTGACATCTTACTATTTGTGGCTTGTAATAAAACACATTCTAAACTTTATGTTTGTCCTTCCAGGTTTTACAAAAAACTCAAAAGACTCATGTCTAAAAAGAGATAAACTGGAATTAAGACTCACATCAACCACAGAGATACAAAATAAGGTTCAGTAAACAATTTAATAGGCCGTGACTGTAAAGTAAGCCTCTGATGACCACTTAGCATAACTTAATACTCTCTGTTTAATCTTCCAAAGCTTAGACTCACTGCAGAACAGAAACAAAATGTAGTTTGCCCCAAGCAAAAGATAAAGTCTTAAAAGCTTTATTGAGCATGCAACAAGACTCTTTATTAGCTTTGATTCTTTATTTATTTATTTTTTTTTTCTTGTTTGTTTCTACCTGCCGTTTGCTCTGCGTTTGCTTGTACTGCACCAACCTCCAGTCTGCAGACATGAAGCGCATGCTCGGTTCTGCAAACTAAGTGGCAGTCTATAGAAAATTATTCCAATTTTTTCTCTTTACGAAGATGCCAATCATATTGATCATATACTGCTGTAATTTAAAAAGGTAATAATAGGGGATCTTGTTCCTGCAGCCCTCACTCTGACAAGCATTTCTTACACATCACAAACTCTAAAGAACCCTCCAGCAAACATGGTGTTTACCCCACTAAAGAGCATTAAGAACCATCCTTGTCTAGGGGACTATGACCCATGACACTGCTCCATGCAAACAACAGAACAGCACAAGAGAAATCCAGACTATTAAATTGCTCTTTCTTTCCAGCATTCTAAAAAGCACGGGTGCATCTGATATGCCCGCACAACAGCCCAGCATGTACTTACCCATTTTGACAACGGAAACTATTGACAGGGGAGGACAAGTGAAAAACAGAGAAACTCTCTGTGATAATGAGCAACACGAAAAGAAAAAGATCTGTTG